GATGTGTTAGGACGGACAAACCGCAACAGAAGGAAAACCTGAGGATTCTCTTCTGGCATACGACGCTATCCACCTGAGACGACACGGCGCATCAGCATGGATCTGACCATAAGAAAGGTACCGTTGTTTCAGTCTGCTCGAAGCATTGATCTGCTTAACATCTCGTTTGATTGCTAATGAGTTTGGCTATGAAACAAGGGCAGCATTCAGACTTTGCGCGGAGTGCGCCCCGCTGGCGCGCAGGTCAATATATTGTGGTATTGGCGTTGTCGATTTGTGCTACTACTATCTGTACTACCACAAGATTGGTAGCGCCAATATCAGAGCACCTACTAACACCAGTATCAGAGCGCTCAGTCACAGACAATGCGCTGTCGAACAACTCTAATACATTAATATACATATAGTTAGTGCCTTGATAATGTTTAGGCTTATTCCAAAATTTTCTCGATATTACCGAAGGCGAATGGAAATCATCGACAATATCTCGGTTAAAAAAATAGCAAATTCACCTAATACTGCATTGGGAGCTCCTCTAATGACGAGAATCTAATGAGTACGTAAAATTTTGAGGATTGAAATTTGCGGGTGTTCTACACTTTCAATGATGTTATTTATACAGTTTATTTATACAATCGATTCAGTGAGAAATTTTCTTTTGTGAAGTAGAATTGCCTCCGAATAAAGGGCGATAAGGCAGACCCTCACACGTGTTCTCAGCTCCATGCTTGTCGCAGTTGATTAAAATATTTGTCAGTTGCACCACGATGCTCGTCGACGCTTTTTCTGGGTGCGTCCAGTCGAATCATGAGCCAATAGCAGAATTTCATAGCCAAAGGATACCTTCTTATAGCTTCTCGCCACTCGTTGAAAACCAGTAAAAAGGCGAAGTAACCGGCAGCAGTGGAACTGGAATGGAACGCGTAAATAACGTGAATCAATCTACCATTTTCTGAAGCGTAATACAACATTTGATTCACACTACCTATCAGAGGCAGATGGCGAGCCCAGTTGGAATGGTATCTTAGATGGGCAGGATAGAGCTGCCTACAAGAGTTACAGATGTCTTTTATGATGTTCTTCAGGCTCTTATTAGACGCTCGACAGGGGAGCTAGGGTCCTGCCTAGACCGCTTTGGCCGCTATTGTCAACGTCCCGGCGTCTGCGCATTCTCATCCGTTGTGCTCTCGCCTACCTCTCTTACACACGTCCATTGCCTCAATGGCTTACAGCCCGATTAAAACAATAAAAAAAACTTTCGAGTTTTACCGTTATTTTAACGGGGGGAATTACCTTTCCTTTCTTCGACTGCTTTGTCCTTGACTGCCTTCTTTCCCGTTCTTTTGTTCTCCGCTGCAAAAAAGTAGAATACTCTACTTCCTCAGAATACTTAGACGACCTGTCCATCAGCACGGCGGTTGGCCTTGCGCGGGTCCCAACTTCTTTTCCATTGTTCTCGATCTTGGGCTATGGTTGTCCAGTGTGTGGTCACCCCAAAGGACTCTGGATCAGCCGGTGAACTAAACTGAGTCGAGAAATTATCCACCATAGCTCGTTACCTGCGAGCAGCTAGCTCCTGAGTGAACATTCGCGCGGAGAGCACAGACGGCACGCGCATGGCGAGTGTGAATGTTCGCGCGAGAGATCGTCTCTGATCGGGCAGAGAATCCTCGACGTGCCGTTATGGAATCCTCAAGCGATATTCACCCGGCTCTGGATCATAGATGTTGTTTCGATGAGCGAGGGAATCTGCCCATCGTAAAGGAGGACGGCCTTGCGGCCGTTTCTTCTCGCGGGGGTACCATCGCACAGTAGCCGAACTCCATCGTCCGTCATCCCTCCTCATCAGGTGGCCGGCGAACCTGTGCTTCGCTTCATCGACGTGAAGAAGAATCCTACTTATACAGGGGTGGCCAAAAAAAAAGAGACACTCAGCCCATGGCGCACATCATCGAACTTTTCGTCGCACAGGGAGCCGATGTTAATGAAAGTTTTATGGCGTTATATTCCTTAGTTGTTCCTCCGTAAACAGAAGCAGCACTCCTTCACTGCCCCTGCCGTCTCCAGAATATGACGTCATCTGCCGTCACCGTCGAGCTCAACGAGGCTTACCGAAATCGCTCCGACCTGAAGCTGCTACACAATTTCTTCAGTGAATTAATTGTTGAAATAGCTTCCTAGAGACATTAGCTGTGACTGTGCAAAACCGCTTTTGACTAGCGTTTGAGAGACGTCGTAATCGTCTATGGTATCTCAACGACCTCGTTGAGCTCGTACCATGCACAATGCTTCTGTGGGAAAATCTTCTGATGTCGTCGGTGTAGAAAGGCTGTTGTGTAGCATGTTGATAGATTAAAACGTGCTCTCTAATATTTAGTTGGGGTCATTTGATTTGGTCTCGCAACGCGTAAATAATTCCGTTTGAATGTGGAGTGAAGTGTCTTTTTTTTTGGCCACCCCTGTATATAAGCGGCTAGCGTGTGTCTGTTGGTGTGTGTGTGTGTGTATGTTTGACCGGAAATTCATAGCTCGAGTCACAGTAACGATAGCGCAGTGGTTCTTACATATGTTATAGGGGGTGGGATGGGGACACAAGTGGTACGTGATAGGAACTGATAACGACTGATAATAGCTGATAAGAGGGGCTAGAAAGCGAGCATCGCCAATTTCGTTTTGCCGTTCATATTGGTAAAGAGCGTCTATACTTACAAGTCTTATGTGGGGCGGTCCCGGGACATTGGTGGTACATGATTGGAAGCGATAGCAACTGATAATGGCTGATAAGATGCGCTAGAACGCAAAAGTCGTCGATTCCGTTGCCTGGCTCGCCTTGACACCAGAGCAACCATACTTACAAGTGTTATGTGGGGTGGGACGGGGACATTGTTGGTGGGTGCCAGAAACTGATAACGATTGATAAGGGCCGATAAGGCGCGCCAGAACGCTGAAGTCGTCGATTCCGTTGCCTGGCTCGCCTTGACACCAGAGCAACCATACTTACAAGTGTTATGTGGGGTGGGACGGGGACATTGTTGGTGGGTGCGCCGTTGCTGGGTGCCAGAAACTGATAACGATTGATAAGGGCCGATAAGGCGCGCCAGAACGCTGAAGTCGTCGATTCCGTTGCCTGGCTCGCCTTGACACCAGAGCAACCATACTTACAAGTGTTATGTGGGGTGGGACGGGGACATTGTTGGTGGGTGCCAGAAACTGATAACGATTGATAAGGGCCGATAAGGCGCGCCAGAACGCTGAAGTCGTCGATTCCGTTGCCTGGCTCGCCTTGACACCAGAGCAACCATACTTACAAGTGTTATGTGGGGTGGGACGGGGACATTGTTGGTGGGTGCCAGAAACTGATAACGATTGATAAGGGCCGATAAGGCGCGCCAGAACGCTGAAGTCGTCGATTCCGTTGCCTGGCTCGCGTTGACACCAGAGCAACCATACTTACAAGTGTTATGTGGGGTGGGACGGGGACATTGTTGGTGGGTGCCAGAAACTGATAACGATTGATAAGGGCCGATAAGGCGCGTCAGAACGCAAAAGTCGTTAGTTCCGTTACGCAGCGTTGACACTAGAGCGTTCCTACTTACAAATTGTAGTAAGTCGTAGTAGTACAAACAAAGGTACGTGCACATTATTTCGATATATATCCAGCTTACTTAATAGAATTCGACTGCATAAATTTAAAAAAGTCTTCAGCAAATGATAAGTTTCATTTCTGACTATTAAGAAAACCCAATCTCATTAACCGCTAATCCTTTCGTGGTTCTAAATAATGACGAATGTAAATGAATGATAAGCATTAGCTCCTCACTTATGTAAATAGCTATTTATTTTATTTCGAGATGCAGCAATCTATTCATCGCCTAAATTTATCTGATTCGAGGAAAATGTGGTTTTGTACAGTGCGGATAATGCCAGTTCAGCTCAGACGTTATCACGCGTATTTCTCGACGAGCTTCAGTGAAACTGTGGAGGGTCTAACACAGTCAATAGTGAGATGGTTAATGGAGTATCTCATGCTGATATTCCATGGGTCCTCCAATTTCGCTAAAGCCTGCCGTGTGATGCGCGCGATAGCGGGCGAAGCAAAACTGGTATCTTTTATCTGTGACATGGCTCTAACGTCAGAATTATGAAGTTTCAGCTCTCGTTGGCGACTCAACGTCAAACCCAGAAGACGGCGTTCAATCGATGCCTGGGTAGATAGTAATTGCCTTTCCTGTGATTTCGTTAGTGCCCAGGTTTCTCCTGCATAGCTGAGGGCAGGCAACACTGTTGAGTTGAAAAGGTCCGCTCGGAGTTTGCGATCCTTGGTGTCTTCTATTACGCTTCTTATAGAGGAAAACGCAGCCCATCCAGCCTTGCGCCGTCTTGCTAGCTCTCCAGCCAGGTCGTTCTTCATGTTAAGCTGGCTCCCGAGGTACACGTACTCGTCAACGTCTTCAATGGGACTTCCTTTTTTTTTGGAAAAGCAGGAAATAAAGAGAAAAAGAAAGAAAAGCTAGTACGATAAAGTTAGCTGGTTGAGCTGTTTCACGTTGGTTCTTTCCGCTTTCTTGCGTAGTCTCCAGCAATATAACACCCTTGTCCATGAGCCAATAAAAATCATGAGAATTTTCGAAAAATCTTAGTAAAGTTGGAATATTTCAACAGCAACAGTATGAGCACACCAAAAAACATTAGCGCATACTGCGCCATTACCAGTCCGAAACCTTTTCACGTATTGAAATAAACGAACTCACAGGGCTACCAGTAAATCTAGCAGAGCAAAACACAGTTGAGCTGCTGCAGGTTCATCCGTATACACAACTATCGCTAGTCCTAATAATACTATACCGCTGAATATGAGCACACTGGCGACACTGAACGCTATCATGACAAGCTGAAAAGGGGAATCATTAGATTTAGCCGTAATTTCTCAATCAGGAGCGCGACTGCGCACTTAACTACTTTGACCAGAATCATTGGGTGGACCCTTTAGTGTCATTAATTAGGAGTTTGTTGTCGTTCGTGCCAATACCTGGTGACGTATTTGACATCAGACAGAGAGCGAATGTGTGCGGTTGGAAAAACGGAGGTGAAAAGCTTAAGTGGATGAGTAGCGGGTCCACTTTTTTCTTCTTCTTCTGTTCGTGCTCCGCTCGTTCTCGTACGAAGAGGTGACTTCATAGAAGTGAACCTTAAAGCAACAGTCCCAGCAGGGTGGGCGTGGTCGGAAACGACTGCAATCCCCTCGGCCGATTCCGACCACGCCCACTTCAGCTCCCTCCCTAGCGGCTTTCCAAGGTGAGTTTTTGTTCAGTCACACTTCTTACGTTCTTGACTAGGGGCTGAACAGCTCCGAAGTGGGAATCGGCCGAGGGGATTGCAGCCGTTTCCGACCACGCCCACCCTGCTGGGACTGTTGCTTTAAGCACATTCCGCATTGAGTGGATATTGCAGTACAGTGCGTCCACAGTGAAGCAGAGCAAAAAAGCTAAGAAACGTTAAAATGGTATGGCATATTGCGCCCCACCCTGCGGAAGGTCTCATTGGTAGCCCTTGCTCTTAAAGCAAAAAGGATAAAGCATTTGCCGTTGATCAATCCCTTTTTGGGATGCGGCACGCATTCTACTTCCATTTGTACATTCGTAGTGGCGTTTGAATGCGATGTGGCCTATACAATGACTTGCGGGGGCCAGCCGATGTACAAGTCAGTGTTTTTATCCTCCCAGACAAGTCTGGTACCAATTAACCGACCCCGGAGGGATGGAAGGCTTGGTTGGCCCGGGCGACTCACGACCCAGGATTTGATCCCCGGACCGCTCGCGTGGGTGCCACTTGCCACTACACCTCCCTTCCGCCCCGGGGGGATGCTCTTGGTATGATGAAATACTCCCGCATGGGCGCGCGCATACCTCGACAGTATGACCAGCGCGCGGTGCGCAGTGTAATTTACAGATTCTTCACAGTTTTTTGCTTTTTTCGTTGCTTGTGGACCATTCATCACGACCCGCTTCATCTCGGGACGCAGCAGAATGCGCCTTTTGCGAAATAGCCTTTGAGCTCATTTTTAAATCATGTATCACCAATTCATGATATAGGATTTTGGGTATGCATTAGCTCTGCCCATGACGTCATGCTAGATATTTTTGCACTCCACCTTCTTTTTTCGCAAGGGAGGAATAAAAACGAATATCGTTAGATCCTTTACTTTCACTTTCATGGTCAAGTTTGCTAAACACTCCCTGACCTAGACTTTACTCAAAGTGAGCGGTAGACTTGCCTTCATTACTCGAACGTTTTCCATCAGCTGGAATTTAGTGCTGAGCGTATTTTTAGTTTTGGCATTGGCCATTCCATTTCGTAGTTCGTGAAGTCTTGAAACATTCTGTCGGTACACTACCGCAAAAATAATCAGGAATATCAGCACAGCTATGCAACTTGCAAAAATAAATATTCTGCTTGAATATATTCCTAAAAGAAATGGTACGAGAAAATGTTGTTGAACTCTTGTGTAGCTCTTTCAAACCTTTTTTGAGGACAGTAGAGTCTTTTCAACTTGTTTTATTGAGGGCAAGTGTTACAGTAAGCTAATTGCTGAAGAAATGGAAATCTTCCCATGGAGGCCAGGCTCCTAAAGAGCCTAAGTGGCATTTCACGGCGTAGGGCGCGCCCGAAAGACCTGACAAGCCCTTATCGGTGGTGTCACAGCGTTCAGGAGCCCAGACTTCAGGTTGGGTGTGATTGATAGGTAGTGAGAAGTTGACATTCTCGGCCAGAGGGTGTAGAAGGTCAAAGCGCAGCGTTCGCAGTAATAACATCATGTACGGTGAAATCCCGTCTAGTGCGAAAATCAAAGGCCAGATAGGTCTCTTCTCGTGGGCATTGGCTGTTCTTATGGTTTTCCTTCAGTTCTGCACCACTTAACACCTCGACTTTTTATTACAATAGCCGGTTAGGATCACTTACGCGCTGTAGTTTGATCTTTGTTTCTTTTCGTTAGCTCCGTACCAAGATAGCCCACTGAGGCCACTATTGAACGAGGAATCTTCGTAGCGATTGAAACAGAGGGAATTCGCATCTTGGTTTCTTCGACAAGCGTATTTTTAGTACATAGTTTGAACAGAATTTTGAAGGCATGATTTACGATATAGGAGGAGATCGCATCGGTGAAGATATTGCATCTTAACGAAGCAGTTACTTGGCTGCTAGGAAAGCGAGATGTGCGCTTTCCGAAAGATGCGCTGGTTGCTGAGCAGGACTTCGAAAGCACTCCGCCCCAAAAGCGATCCGCCCACTAGTTTAGTTGGTGATTTGGACGAGCTGCGTTGCCAGCAGCGGCACAACTGGTGCAACTCGATTGGAGCGTTTGGCTTGGTGCTAATACCAAACCACTGCGGAGTAATTAATGGCGTCCGCGATTTCTGAGCTGTCAAGTGAAAAAGAGCGGCTAAAAAGGAAGGTCTCGTTTCGCGTTCTCTTAACGCATTTCTCAGCTTTCTTCGCCATAGCATGCTATTGAGCACCATCACCTTTACTTGAACCTTCTCGAATCTATCGTAGTCGCTACCTTTAAGATTGAGGTTCGAGAGGTTAGAGCATTCTAGAAGCCCCTAATGGAGCAAGACGATGCTCCTTCCACAGCGAAGGTTATGCACCAGCTGCTATCGAGCAGTACCTGCCCCGCTGGCACTTCTGCACGCCCGCGATAGGTGATCCTAACCCTTTGCCGTTTGTTCTTTACCCGTTTAGATGAAAGGGCACTGGCGTTGAAAGGGGAGGGCACTGATGAGATTGCATAAATGCAGAAATCGATGGGAGAAGAAGGGGTGTGTGTCATATAAGGGATCCCATTGGCATTGGAGCGCACAGGACGTAGTTGCCACATCCTGCATGGCCGGACAACTCGTCCGCGCAACACATTCTGTTCCGTTCCTCTTGCCTTGGCATCAGGCCAGCGAAGCTATCCGCTCTTTTTTAGATCTTGGGACTCAGCGAGATTTTGAGACCCAAATTATCAGATCGATCAATTGTTGAAGTCTAGTAGTTGAGTGACGCGGACGAGTTGTCCGGCCACAGCAGGATGGGGTTGTGCGCTCCAATGCCAATGTGATCGCGCCATATGACCGCCTCCAGAGAAGAAGGGGTCCCCCATTTTCGGTTCTCATGAAGTTTTTCATTCCTGTCCACTGACCACCTCTATCCTGATTTCAAGGGCTGCCCTTTTGTCGTGAATCCCGCTTCGAAACTGAACATCTATCCAAGAACCACTCAATAAATCATGTGCACCTCATTCAGTAGATGAACGATCATAAGTAAAGAGAAAAAGAAACTCACTGATCATCAATTTCACGGTGACTATAATAGTTGTAGTCAGAGTGATCGCTAAAATACCAGTCGAAATCCATAAGCGAGGTTTTTTCTCGTAATCAGTTACGAAGTAAAGCGCAAAAGTTCGCTCGACTATCACTTCGGCCATGAAAATCAATGATGACAGAAAGAAGTATGATCGGATTATCGACGCGGTAAACAGTAGTATTTTGGAGAATGAGTTTCGATCTATAAGTAATGACTGTGATGTGGTGCTATATACAAATTTGGGCGAAGGAGTTTGTCACCAGGATCAACCGTCGCGTTAGGCCGATTTTAGAAAGCTGACATCTTGACCCCCCTCCCAAAGTTCAAACGCATTTATCTCGCCCATTCCATTAAATTTCCGTGAAAGTGGCGAAAAATCCCCCGAAACAACCCCTTAACTCCCACCACCCGTAAATTTCACAATTCCACAAATATCAATTAAACTCCACAGCAACCACCCTCAAAAATCCCAAATATCTATGGTCCCCGTTGTTATCGGCTTAACGCCCAATTGACCATGGTCTTTCGGTTCATTTAAAGGCACAACCCAGGCAGAAGTCATGTGAGCGATTTTCTTCGGTCTGTAGGATAGACCGCTAAAGGGCAATCACAGATGTGGCGTTCTCGTGCACGGAAACCAACCGATAAAAGCGCTTGGGCTTTGCAAAGTAAGCTGCCCAAGCTGCAGATTTTTTTCTTTTATCAGGCTCTTTTCTGCTGGCTGATCTGGCGCCCCGCTCATCTGTGACTTCATCTAGCCTCATACCCCCTCTCCGGTTACAGGGAAGGCAATTCAACTTTCCATGGACCTTCGGAATTTTGAGATGAGACCCAGATATATCGATAGAGCTTCAAACGCTGATTACAAATATGGAAACTAAAACTGCAAAATGAACCTGCCAAGGAAGTTGTGAGCAGTCAAAGTTGGCTGGAAGTAAAGCATTACATATGAACCGTGCTAGCTTTCGGGCTTTCAGGCGTCGGTGCGAACGGTCAGGACTTCTCGTTCTGCAGGCAGGGGTAGGTAGTCGGCATTCTCTTTCGTGCAATGGATGCAAGTTTAGAGAGCATTACCACTCCTTTAGAATGCCCGGACGGTACCACGATTCATATGGTAAGCTTTATTTCCAGCCAACTTTAACTGCTCACAACTTACTTGGAGAGTTCATTTTGCAGTTTTAGTTTCATATTTGTAATCAATGTTCGAAGCTCTATCGAAATATGTGGGTCTCGATTCAAAGTTCCATGGGAAGCTGAATGCCTTTCCTGATTAGTCTCTCAT